CATATTTCCTAAGCCATTTATAATGAATATTTAACATAGGGAATTTAACACCACTCTATTAGCGAATACATGTGGTTCAGCAGAAGTGTTTCGAGTTCAGTTTTCAAATATAATTTAAGGGATTCGTTAATATTGTGCATGTATACATTAGGATAAACATCGTACAGACCAATTTTCTATTTGTACAAAACACAGCAACATATTTTATTCAGTTCAATAATGAAAGCAAAAAAAGGAAGTATGGATATTGAGGAATGTGCTTTTGAAATCGGATCTAATTTTTCTTTGAATATATTTTACATTTTTGTGTTAAACTCGATGAAATGGACCCCGACAATATTCTGCATAGAAATGAAACAAAACGCAATAAGCAGCATATCAAAATATACTAGTTTTATTGTATCTTTCAAAATTTATATTGAAATGGGAAAAACACCCCTGTAGGTGATCTAGACGCTTCACACAATTTGAACTTTCGCTTAGCTCTTTACATCACACCGGCTTGTTTAGTGTTATGCCAATAGAAATTGGCAGAGCAACCCATTGTAGCTTCGCCAAACAGAATTATTTCTTAATATAAACCGGCCATACTCGTTTTTTTTTAATTTTACACAGAAAATTACAAAATATACTCAAATCAGTAGAATATTGCAGTATTTCATCGACTTATAATTAATTAATAATCTTCAAATTGTCGACAAGGTATACGGTTGCGTTTTGACAAGCTGATTACTCACAATAGATCATTAATGTTTAATAGATGAAGTACAATCACTGATCTTCATTAAAATTAGTTAGACACGCTGAAATGCCAGGGATTATTGCTATTCGATACTCGTAAAATATGCACCGCAGGCATCGTGCTGGGTTTAGAGAAACAACAGCATCATGCAGCAGAGGCGAGGAATTAGCGGGTTCAGGGCCTAGAGGGATGGGGGTTCCCCCGCTTCTGCCTCTTTCGTCAGGTGACCGCTCGCCATCTCCACAGACTTCGTTTCCCCTACTGCCGCATCGCGCTGCGCGCCGCTTAATCGAATTGCGTCTCGGGGCGGCGCGCAAACTTTAATTGGGAAATTGCCGCGTATCCGCCTCCGCCTGCGCGGCCGCGCTCGGACGCGCGCGGCCGCGCTCGCCGCGTGTTTGCCCG